ATATTTATATTTAATAGTTTATATATTCCTAAAGGAAAGAAAATTAATGATTTTTAAAATAATGCCTCTTTTGTCTCTACCTTTTTCTTAAAAAGATAACCTCTGAAGGTTAGTTAATATTAAACCATAAGACATAAACATAAATTATAAACTCCATAATTTTAAGTTTTAATTTATAATCAAAATGCTTAAAGTAGAGCCCTGGCCGGTTTGGCTCACTGGATAGAGCGTCGGCTTGGGGACTGAAGGGTCCCAGGTTCGATTCTGGTCAAGGGCATGTACCTTGGTTGCAGGCACATCCCCAGTGGCAGCTGATCGATGCTTCTCTCTCATCGATGTTTCTAACTCTCTATCCCTCTCCCTTCCTCTCTGTAAAAAATCAACAAAACATATTTTTAAAAAATGCTTAAAGTAGAGAGGATTTAAGTAGTTGATTTAGTCTAAGGGAAAGATATTTGAAAAGTCCTCCACTTTCAGCTGTCCTCCACTTCACAAATGATTCTGCCAGTGAGAGAACTAGCTACTGATCTGTATTTTCCACGGAGGATAAATATAGAGGGCAAACCAAATTGTCACATTACTATTTTTTTCTTAAACTCAGCATTATAATTTCATTAAAATTTGACCATATTTACCAAATAGGTTTATGTATCTCCAACAAAATTCAAATAGTCAATTACATTCCTCTCATGTGTCCCCACAACAGAATGCATGTCTAGAGCATGATATAAAAGTTTTCAGATTTAAAAATCTTGACCTCACACTTATACATGTCTCCTGTATGTCAGGGGGTGAGTTGAAGAAATGTCATCATGGTAATAGAAATTACCCAATTAAAAATTCCTTTTAAATAATGGGTACAGTTAGCATATATATGGATGTGCTTCACAGAGACATTTCCTCAGGAGAACAAAAGCTTTTACCACATATCCTAGATGATATTCAGGGTTGGTATTCACAGGTAAAACACTATACAGTTTATGTGTGTCTGGACAGATCATTTGCTGTTATTTCATGCTATTTCTAAAAATATTGGAATTGGTACCTTAAAAAGCTAATTTGTTTCTAAAATAATGATAAAATCATGTTAATGTATTTTTGGTTAGTTTTGGTGTCTTTTGAAAAATAATTATAAATTTTGAACTTAAAAAACATTTCAAAAGATGGGTTTCGCCGAAACCGGCTTGGCTGCGTCAGCCTGCGGACTGAAAGGTTCCGGGTTCGATTCCGGTCAAGGGCATGTACCTGGGTTGTGGGCACATCCCGAGTAGGAGATGTGCAGGAGGCAGCTGGTCGATGTTTCTCTCTCATCGATGTTTCTAACTCTCTATCTCTCTCCCTTCCTCTCTGTAAAAAATCAATAAAATATATTAAAAAAAAGATGGGTTTCATTTAGGCCAATTACTAATTTTCAATATATATGAAAATGTGAAGTTCTGGTTTAAAAATATTCTAATAGTCACTAACTTTAAATAATGTTTAAAGTTTTCAAGAGCTCAATGTTGACTAAATGCTACTGCAGTATCACAAAATATAAAATGTTCAGAAGAGGCAAAAATCTAAATGTACCCTCTCAGTTGTAAGATAAAAATTAGGTTATGACACTTTACAAGACAATGATACTGTCCAAAATGTCCTTGGAGACATTTGGTCCACATCAAAAAGATCCTAAAAGTTTGCTGACATATTAATTAATGCACCATGCATCCAGAGATCCCATCCTCTACTTGTCCTCTGTTCATTTTCCTAAGAAGGACTATTCTTCTTTAAACATACTTAATATAAATCCAGCTCTTCTGGATGATTCAAACCCTTACCTGCTAAGCTACTGAGGTAAGAAGGGTAATTAACAATACAACTATAATAAAATTATTGGAGCAAAAAATATGGTAGTGTTTTTCATGTATTAATCCTATAGACTAAAAGTAAAAATTAATATTATGGACTATTTGAACCCAGGGACCTTTCTAAGATGAAGTAATAGGACAATTGTCCACCTGGGGACTGGTTCCAGTCTCATGAGTTAAAGGAGAATTAAAGAGGTTACTGAGAGCTGAAAAATTTACCCCAAGGGCAATTCACCAAAAGGCTGCTTCTTTGAGCTCTTCTAGGGTGAAAATATGCTCTCTTCCATTTCTTTTACATCAGTTTAGTTCACCATATGACAGTTGGTAATAGATCTATGGTTAGGCCTGTAATTATATAAAACAATGCTAGAAGTTCTTCTCTTTTAAAAAAATGTTTTTTATTGATTTCAGAAAGAGGAAGGGAGAAGGAGAGAGAGATAGAAACATCAATGATGAGAGAGAATCACTGATTGGCTGCCTCCTGCGCACCCCCCAATATGGATGAAGCTTGCAGCCAGGGCATGTGCCCTGTCCCAGAATCGAACCGGCAACCTCTTGGTGCATGGGTCAGCACTCAACCACTGATCCACAATGGCTGGGCTAGAAAGCCTTCTTAATGCTGATTATATTGTGCAATACAAATCACAGTAACAGTCAATTAATTTATCTCTTTTTTAATTTTATTAAATTTATTGGGATGACAATGATTAATAAGATATAGGTTTCAAGTGTACAATTCTAATAATACATGATCTATATATTGCATTGTGTGTTCACCACCTAAAGTTAAGTCTGCTTCCATCACTATATATTTAACCCTCTTTACCCTCCTCTACCTCTCCTGTAACCCCCTATCACTTTGGTAACCACCATACTGTTCTCTGTGTCTATGAGTTTTTGTTTTTTTGTCTTGTTGGTTACTTTCTATTTTATATCCCACATATGAGTGAAATCATATCATATTTAGTGAAATAAGTAGGATGAAAAAGTCTCTTTCTTTTTATTATTCATTAATCCATTATTTCTCTCTATATATATACT